ATATATATATATATATATATATTGATTGAATTTAAATAGAAAACATAAACTTTTTTGGCTATGCATGCTTTTATTTAGTTTAAGTAAATGTTAAATGCTTTTATTTAGTCTTGGCAATTGATCTGTGGTAGTCTTGATATAGACTGGATAATTGAAAATGTTTATAATGTTTAAGTAGCATATAATGTTTTCTCACTTTAGAAATTAGTCTGTAATGTAGCCAGGTCTTTTTGTAGTGGGATTTGTGTGATGCAATTCTGTAATGTAACCACACCAGACGCACATTGATGGAATTAAAAATATCTACAGTCATCAGTATAATTGTAAGAGGTGTTAAAACACTAATATGTGTTATACTTATCTCGCAGTTTGAGGATGTACAATACGCTGGTGGAAAGATGCTTCACCGACTGCGTAGACTCCTTCAAGCGCAAGTCGCTGGACAAGCAGCAAGAAACATGCGTCCGCCGATGTGCAGAGAAATTCTTGAAGCATTCGATGAGGGTCGGCATGCGATTTGCAAAACTCAACCAGGGTGCTGCTACTCAGGACTAATTTTTGCTTAATGTTTCGATAGAATGCTATTAATGGCTACCTGATGGACCGTGAATGTGCAGAATTATTATATATGAATGTGCAGAAATGGGAAGCTACCTGGTTTCAACGAAGACTGGAAGATACCTGGTGGATTATTGATCCTGGTGGAGATCATTTACATGAGCTAGGATAAGTAACATTGAATGCATGTGGTCTAAACTAATAGGATAAGTAACATTGAAGTTACAGAAGCTAGCCAAAATATATCATTTTTGATATTAAGATATGCATAGATATTCCATATACTACAATGTGACATATATATTGTGGGCTTTGGATGAGCATGATGCACTCAAATCTGTGTCATGTGCATATATAATTGACCTAATAAGAGTAAACCTGACACAACAAGATTTCCAAAGCCTTTGCTTCCAAGTGTAAAATCCTGAAGTCAATCCAAACATCAAACATGTACTTGTGAAGTCTCTGGTAGTATATAATGCGAGGATAGTTGAGTAAGAGATAAATTTTTCCTTGAAGCATTAGAAATGATCTCAAAACCTAATACCGAAGAATTGTTAGAGCAGCAGGAACACTAGGATGGTTGGCAGGATGATAGACTTCTTGAAAAGTCGTTAGAATGATAAAACCCTCACACTAGTTGGAAGTATACAAAATTATGGATAGGATGTTTATATCCTAAATGAACAGAGTATGTAATATCCAAGAAAACATTCTCACATGGGATATGCACTTCACTAATTTTTTTTTATATAATAATTCATATGGGATCTACATTCTCCATGATAGAACAGAGAACAAATTTCATGAAAGATATGCTAGGTGGATTTTTTCAATGAAAATGCTTACTTCAATGGATCATCCACAAAATCCATCTTTAGTTCCAATTACATGTATCAAGGTCTTTGGTTCAATCAATATATTCACGCCCTTGTCCTCAACCAACTCATCAAATTTGCCTTTCTCATCTGTCCAAAAAAAATTCAGAGCAATTTAGGTTGGGTTTTTCATCAAGGAAATAGTAAATTATATGATTTCAAGAAGGAAATAGTAGGAGATACATCCTTATGGTTTAGATGTGAGATACCTTCATTGTGTCCTACCGAAGAATATTACTCCTATTTCTATTTGCTAATATTCTTTTTGGGTCCTCATCTCAAACAATGATATCATGTTTAAAAGCTCTTGTAGGTGTAATTGTTTTCTAAATGCTCATTACTTCATGTTTATTCTTGATTATTCGCTCTTGTTGGCAGATACTTATCATATTTTATATGCTTGACTTGTGTACATTGGAATCTTAAGAACAAAGCAGGAGGGATGATCTGGAATCTCTAGGATTTGTTCTCACATACTTTTTACGAGGAAGGTCTGGTGTCTATCCTAACTTCATTTTTAGTAGCTTTTTCTATAGTATGATGTAACAAAAAAAAATTTTCTTGTTGTTTCCAATCTTCACTGACAAGGTCTAAAAGCTAGAACAAAGAATCAGAAATATGAAAAAAATTAGTGAAACAAAAGTTACCACCTCCATTGAGATAATATCAAATATCAAATAATTATTCATTAATGTTGTATATCAAATAAATATTCATTGAAACTTAATGTTGTATATCAAATAAAATTCTTTAATAAAATTATTCATTATTTACTATTGTTAAGGATGCATACAATCTATTATTACCCGGTTGATAATAAAATAATAAATTAAAAACAATTACCACGTGCATTGCACGTGCAATTCAACTAGTACTATTATAAAAGTGTGTTGTCATATTCAAACATCTTCCGAAAGTGTCCTCCAACATACATACATGCACACACAAAATACATGCATGCATACATAAGTCATACATCTTTAAATGCTTCAAATCAAACACATGTGTACATACATATACTATATCTTTTCAAATTCTTCTCATAACCCTAAATCTTATCAAATCAAATTAGGTAATTATTAATTAAATGCATATGACATTTAGTATAGTTAGATATATTTTTTAAACTATACTACAACTATTATTTATTTAATATAGTTAAATATATCTAAGTTATACTAAAATTTAGATATTATTAATAATTAATAAATATATCTAAGTTATACTAAATATATCTAAGTTATACTAAAATTTAGTATAGTTAGATATATTTTTTAAACTATACTACAACTATTATTTATTTAATATAGTTAAATATATCTAAGTTATACTAAAATTTAGATATTATTAATAATTAATAAACTTTATGTCTATATTATATTACTCATTATATTATAGTCAAACATGTCCTATACTAAAATATAGTACATTATATTATCTATAGTATAACTACAACTTGCATAGCGTAGCATGAACTTTTAACAGGCAAAAAATAAAAAATGAAAAATCGACGAGGGAAAAAGAAAAATACACACATGCAGTTTGTAACTGCTAACTATTCAATTGACTAATGAAAAAGGCATCCCCACTATACTATCATTTTCATTAGGTTATTAAAGACAAACTCATTAATCCTCTTATTAAGCTTCCCACTACTATTAAGCATTTCTAACCTCTGCATAAATAAACATAACGCACATAATCAAAAGAGGAAGAGAACACAAACGCCTTAACAAAACAAATGTAGATAAAAAACCACTGACCAAATTCATTGACATTAATCATCATTTGTTGTAAATATAAATGAAATGAATGTGGACATTACTAGAAGACTCTTATATAAATGAAGATCTTTAGAAAAAGGAGCTTGATGTTTTTGGTTATTATGTGTGATCTTATTAAAATGTGAATATTCTTAATTTCTCATGCACTAATCTTTCGTCCCCATGATTAGTGCACTGTGATATATGATAGTAATTATTACTTGTCTTTGGCCTCGAACGTTCAATTTTACTGGACACCATTGTGATTTTTACATGATTATATCTCTTGATTCTTTAAGTATCTTTGCCCAGAAGACAAACACTTTAAATTTTCTCTCTATCAATAAAGACGTGAAAAATTAATGCCTCACTGAAAAAAGTATTCACTTTCTGGGCAATCCCTGAAGGATCGCTTTGATCTATGGAAGCCTATAATCTTCCCTTAAACGCAACTGGCAGACTAAATCGGAACTTTTTGGATTTCAAATACATGACTAAATATGATTCAGCTCTGTACCACATTATCTAGCAGCTGAAACTCTGTAAGCAGAACATTACAGACAATGTCGAAATTGATCAAAAAATTCTTTTCCCCATTCCACGCAAATAATATTGTACTCCAGCAGCAGTACATGACCAATAATTGCACTTAGCATTCTGAATTGATATATACAGAGAAGCACAACCAATTGATGATTAGAAATCACAATGTCATACAAGTTGGCTTACGAGTTGTGTTTGTAGCACATGCTACAATTCAGAAAAATTCAAGGGGGAGGCTATGAACATAGTAGGAGATCTTATCCTGTAGTCATTTTTGGATTTTAAACCCTCGACTGAATACAATTCAACAAGTAACCTTGTACTCTTACAATAGTATAACTGAAAATTATATTAAGTATTATGAACTAATCCTTGCATTAGTAGTTGTTAAAAATACAACCAGCTGTTGTGAGAAACCATAATGCAAGTTTAATTGGTTTACACGTAGTGCCTGAAGCACGTGTCATAATTCATACTAATATTCATAAGCTTGGACGAGGGGGAGGTAGTGGACATTGAAGTGGATCTTATCGAGATGGTCAAAACTAATATTCATAAGCTTGGACGAGGGGGAGGTAGTGGACATTGAAGTGGATCTTATCGAGATGGTCAAGGTAAACTATTTGGTTTTTCTATATTTGGATTATATGCATTTGTCAGACAATTTTGATTTAACTTGAGTTTGCTTTAAACTCTTGTGAACCTATGTGGTTTTTATTTATACACTTTAGGATTTGTATGACCTAAAATACACCATGTTGCGATGATTTTTGAGATTTAAGGACCCAAATTCTTTTAAATTCTGGCATAAGCTATTGGATCATCTTGGGCAAAATATGATTTGTCGAATTTTCTTAAATTAAATGGGGCATTCAAACCAAATCCGACCAACTGCATATCAAAAATTTCCCCCTTTTTCTAATACGTGGTGAAGAAGCGAAACATTTCCCATCTGTGTATTCTTTATTTGCAGTCCATGTTTCTATATCACCATCATAGCATACATCTATGGGACCTCGGTGAAGGTACATACATTATTTATGAAACTCCGTTAATAATTTAATACCTATGGCCCATGTTAGGGGATTAATTTACAATTTAGTACGCTAACTGCATTTTTTTATTAAAGGTCAATTCTCGACATTAGGGGGAGATTAGTGCCCAAAATACAAAATAATGTTAAGAAATTTCATAAAATGAAAAGAATCTTCAATATTTATATCCACGTACTAGTCAAACTGAACCAGAAGTTCATATGATAATCTGCTATGAAAAGAGTGACTAAGCCCCATATTCATGTTGAGTATATCATTGATGATTTGGTACGCCAGAAGCGTACTGCACCAGAAGCATAGGAAACTTGTTAGTGAAAAAGATAAAAGTCTGCGGCACACTAAATCTATTATAGAAAGACAATCACTCCCATAACCTCCGGAAGAGGCTTGTCTTGAAGACGAAATCTCCAGTAAATTGCACGTGCACTTGATAATCATAATATTGGAGATGCGAACAACCAAATCCAATTGTTAAAGGAAATGACGAGGATTTGGTTGACATAAAATAAGAATTAAAGTGGCCACGAATTTGTAAAAAAATAGAAATATATAATAGAAATATAAAAGTTATCGACAACATAGTTGCCTCTACAGTTGCTCTTACTATCTCTGAAAATAATCTGGATCCAGAACTTAAGTCGGTAGCAGAGTGCTTGAAGCACTTCGACTAGGTGAGATGGAAAAGTGGTAATTGAGGCTGAGCTGAACTCGCTAAAGTATTTTGAACCTGTAGTCCATATATCCCTGCAGGATATAAATGGGCCTTCGTAAGAAAAATAAATGAGAATTATAAGATGGTGAGATATAAATCGAGATTCATACCTCAATGAGTTCACGTAGAGACTCGGCATCAATTTAGATGTAAAATATTCTCCTATTAGTGATTGTATTACGTTCCGCAAGTTAATACCTATGGCAGAAACTATGAATTTATATATGCAGTATATGTACGTCATGACCATATTTTTATATATGTCATTAGACGCTAATATTTTTATATTAAAGTCTCGGATGGACTTAAAATTCCTGAATTGAGAGAAAACAAGAAT